TCACTTATTGATAGGGGCAAATCCGAAATCGAGTTAAAACGTGAGATGTATATTCAATTTCTCAATTATTTCATTTTGCGTCAAGGATAATTTGAACAAACATCAATAGACGCTTTTTTTATCTTGAATCCAAACTATTCGCAGATGGTATTAATTATGAATTTATCCGAACATTGAATTTTGTCAAATTTGTGGCAGATTTTAACTAACGCCTAGATATTTTTTATTCGTTTTATAAACGACATTTAGATTTCGTCACTTTTGAATCATAGTGTGCTGGAGACTACACTACTATTGTATTTCTGGGAATTATTTAGTCTCCGTCCTAGAAAAATCGTCTCACACTATTATGAATTCAATCACAACTTTGATCTATACTGCCCCGGAGACTACACTACTAACGCCGGGATTTATACTTATGTTTAGATAGTATGCTTAATATGTTTTGTCAATTTATACGTAAGAAATTTCTTGATATTCTAAATTTAACTTAGAAGCTTTCTAAATTATCAAATAAATTGATTTTTTTTTTAAAATATTCATTACAATTAAAATGTGTTAATCACTAGAACTTTAGAATTAAAATAATTTCGATTTAAATACGGAATTTTAATGATAATTGGGGAAATTGTCATTAAAGGCGATAACTATGATTTTCGATTCCTATTTTTAAAATAATATGTCTATATAATATAATCACATAGTTCCCAAAAATCATTGTCTGCCTTCGAAATAATTACCCAATTATATTAAATGGCATTTATTATATATTTTGACATTAAAATAAATATTATTCTATTTTATGAGAAATTTTGTATAACAAATAAAAATACTTACTACATGCGAGTTTTTAATTATATACTGAACAATTAAAACTATACGCATGTCTTTTTATATGGTATATTCTTTGATGACGCAAGAGCGTAATGGAATTTTCGAAAATTATCGATTTCAAAATTATATTGTAGACGCGTAAACGGAATCATACGTATATAAGCGTGGGAAAGATAAGCTATCATTTGTAAACTGACTTTAAAGGTTATTTTCAACAAATAATTAAAGAATATCGATGATACGAAAAATTTTTTCTAATCTCAAAAAACGATAAACAACTTTATAGTTAAAAAAAAAATTTTTTTTACGATTTTTTCCAAATAAAGTAATGTAAAATAACTGTAATATTATCACTTCTTGGCTGTCCCATTTTAACTGCAGTTTTTGCAAGTGTTGAAGCAATTTGATGCACATTATATCCCCGATCAAGGCAAATAGTAATTTCGTCAACAACTGCTTGTTCGTTGAAGACGTTCCACAAGCCTACATATTTTTTCACGTTATGAGAAACAAGCATCCAACCTTAGAAGCTCATTATTATTTAAACTTACCGTCTGAGGCCATAATCAGAAATTCGTCCTCATAAGGAACTAAATTGATCTCATGTATGTGAGGAATTGGTGAAATCCAGTCTTCTCCTGATGGAGTGAGTGGAGCCTTAAAATCAAAGTCTCCTAGAGCTGAACAATAATATGTAATAATGATATCTCAAGGAAAAGACAGCATCAATGTTAGAAATATCATATTACCTCGGGTCATATTAACTGAGTGACCTGGGCGAAATATTCTTCCTCTACGAACTGCGGCCTGAGCAGACATAAGTCTGTCTAATTCCATGGAATTATCGACTTTGTCATCAAAGCTCACTGCAATAGCTTTGGCTTCATTGTAGCCTCCTGGTATACTGCCAAGAAATGCAGTGCTATCACCAACATTTGCGACATAACAAGTGTTGGAATTCTTAAAAAACAAAGCGACTAGAAATAATTATGGTAACATATAGCTTTAAACATTCTTTTGCTAGCATGCAGGAGAAAAAATACACGTTTGTTTTTTCACCTGTCGCGGTTGTACCGCCATGGTAGGTTCCAAAGGCTGATCTCAGTGCATGATCTTCTTGTTGAAAGGCGTTGACGAAAGCTTTTTCATAATTGCCTAGTTTAAATTCGGGATCATTTACGATAAAGTTTGCCAAATTTTCTTTGGCATGCTTTGGTAGATAAGCACACGTGAGAATTCAATTGATAAATCAATGTTTTATACAATGGAATGACGAGTAAATATACGACACCTTAGAAAATCTACCATCGCCGTGCCCATCATAAATCATGAAAAGCGAATATCCTTCTTCGTCAAAATAATGATTTCTAATATCAAACCTATCCATTTGAGTTTCCCGATCCCCACGGATTCTGGCCACTCCAATATTGAGATCAACAAGAGACATTTTTTTAAAATATTACCACTGAAAAGGAAATCGAGATGTGTTTATAAGTTCTAATCGTACATTTACGTCATAAAAGAATGTCGAAATTATTATATAATTATTTATTATATCGAGCTGCTCCAAGCACTTCAAAATCTATTATTTATATGGAAAATATCGACTCCCTAAATGACGTATATCTTGGATACCAATATATTATATATATATACAGTATTATATACTAAACATGTTTCATTATTGTTAAATTATTAATTTATTATATTCTATTGTCACGATAAATTTGACATCTCGTCCAATTAACCATTACGTAAAAAAGTTACTTGGTTTAATAGCTTATAATAATAATTTTTTTTTAATACTTGAAAGAATAAAGAGAAGGCTTGAAAAAAATAATAATAAATTTCAAAAATCAAATAATAATTTTTTTAATAATATTATTACTCTTACTAACTTTGGTTAAACATCTAAATTTGGTATTAAATAAGATATGGCTTTAATTTTGTAATTATTATTGGATCAATATTTTATATTTGATAATCTTTTTTTAATTATTTCTTTCTATATAATACAAAAGTGACATCTGTTTTCTTAAAAAATTATTTATCTTAATATAATAGTATTGATCTTGGTTTATAATTTATAAAACATATTGTAAGTATTATTATATAAAATAATATGATATTTATTTAATAAAACAATAAAAGAATAAAAAGAATAAAAGAATATTTTAAAAACTAACTTGTTATAAATTAAAAAAATATATTTTATTTGTTTTGTTTTGTTAATACATTTATTTAATTGTAATTATAATTTATTTATTATATGGATAACTATTTTTGAAGATGAATCAAAATTTAAGATGTAATTTTATTATTCTAAAAATATAATCTTAAATATTATATAATATAATATTAATTAATTATATAATTTTTTTATTGATTTAAATTTTTAAGTATTAAATTTTTAAAAAGATTAAAAGATTAAATCTTAATCAATACATAATATTAATTAATAAATGTGTATTTATTTTGAAGCTTAAATTATAGAATTTCATATAAAAAAAAGTTTGTTAATATTTTTTTTTTACTATTAAAATAAGGCATACTCATTATTTTTATTAATATAATAAAATTGTTACATGATTAATATTAAGCCTATAAGTTATATTACTATAGATATTAGTCTACTACCTGTTTAATAAATATATTATCGGAAAAACCTTTAAGCAAGAAAAACTTGAAAAACTATCTATTATATAAAAAAAAAATAATAAATAAAAAAATATTTGAAGCAATATTATCATAATATAATGAAATTTGGATAAAAAAAAAGAAAAAAAAGTTGAAAATAATATTGTAACTTTTATTAAATGTGGTTTCCGAATGCAATTAATTATTTTAGTTAGACATTGGTGTCACATCAGCTACAGTTAACTCAATAAATTTGATTATATAAATTTTGAGATATGTTGTTATAATGTGATTTGGTCGAGTTATAATGTTGATAATAAGATAACTAGAACTTTTATATTTCAGATATTTGTTGTTTTTTTTTATAAATATGATATATTGTTTTTATCGGAACCTATGCAGGGCACTGATCACACACTCTCCCAATCTAATAAGTTGTTGTATTATTTTGATATGGTTTGGTAATATGAAATGTTATTGGTGTTTTGTATGTTATAGATCTTTTAATGAAAGTAAGCTAATTTTGATTTTTGTATAAAAAAATTTTAGCAAGAACTAATAACTAAAAGATTTGTTAGTATTAAATAATTAGTTATCAAAATAATTATATAATAATATTGTTACTAGATTTATAAATTTAAAAGTTTTAATATTAATATCTTTATCAATATATAATATTATTTAATAAATCAATATTTATTTTGAAATTTATATTATAAACTTTTATATAAAAAAGATTTATTAATATTAAATAATTAATTATTAAAATAATTATATAATAATTATAACAATACTATTAATGAAATAAGTAATATAAGGGTATTATATAAAAGTGACATAAACAAATCAATAGAAAAAGCAATATTTTAAAAATACAATAGTTTAAACTATGTCTCTCTAGAACATCTGAAATTTGAAATATCTTGAATTTATAATTTTTATTTTTATTTTTATTTTTTTTAGTAAGTAAACATTATTTATTTATTTAATTTGTATATAACATGATATATATCGTGAAAAAAACAACATCTCTCATGTGTTGATACAATAAGTTAAATGCAAGTTTGCCTATAGTAACCATATGACTAATATTGAAAAAAAAGTTTAAAACAATATAACTTGTTGAATAGTATTGAGCAGTTATAAATACCTACTTAATATTAGGGGAAATAGAGTTCAAATTAGTAAATAGAGTTGTTAGGCTATAAATATATTTGAAATAATTATATTTAGATTAGATAAATAATTTAGTGACAATAGAGGATAAGTCGATGATAATATTATCTTGTAAGTTATTGAAGTTGTCTTTGGTTTGTAAGATTTTTTTGATTTCTGGATTGGTGAAGTTGATTGAATTATACAGCTTGATATGATTTCACTTGATTTCAGTAAGAGGTGAGGTATTGATTGTAGAGCAACATGGTTTTCAAATTAGATTATATAATAAAGTTAAAGATTCTGTTGCTATCTTGATCCAGTTGGTAGGGGTTGAAATAAAGAAGATTTTGTCTATAACTCCATATAATAGTTCGACAACTTGCCATATGTGTAAGATTGGTTTGTGATTATTGTCTAGGTAGAGAGTTTAATTAATGGTTTTAATAATTTGTTCAGTTGCTTGTAATATATCTGGACATCTAAAAATATGTTGAATGTCTTCAGTATAAAGCTTGCATTGTGGATATAGGGTATCTGAATATTGATTAGGATAAAGTTGGTGGAGTATGAAACGAGTTGGAAAAGTTCTCGAGAGCAGTTTGATTCTGAAAGTTACTAAAGTACTATACTTGTTATCATAAAGCTTTCTAATGTTTTTGTTGGATTGATTGATGACTTTTAGGCCATACAGGATATGTGTTCATCCAAATGTTTAAATAACTGAGAAGCTTTCACATATTATATAGTTTCTGGTAATGCTGAAAATTTTCTTGCACTATCTGATACTACTACCTAGGAAAGTATTGTTAATTAGGGATTTTCAGGAAAGTATTGTAGAGGATTGTTCTATTGAATAGTTCTGGTTAATATTGGTCTGGACTATACATGTGTTCATATTTAATTCAGATATTTTTCAAAAACTGTACTATGTTCATATTACTATGTTCTATACATGTTGCTGAAATTCGTAGATCCTTGACGCAATTGACGCAATTATTTGACGCAATTAATTGAGTCACTATTAAAACATATAAATAATTGAGTCATGACGCAATTATTTTTGAGGATTTTGGGAATTGAATCAATGGCAAAATAATTTACGCCACATGTATACTATGTTCATATTACTAAGTAACAATTAGTAAGTAATTGGAAATCATATTTAATTAGGAATCGTATTGTCAATCAAATTTCCTTTTATAGTAATAAGGAAACATGTATAGTCTGGACTTAGGTTTGATATATACAATTTCTATGGATTTCTGTTATACATATCAATTTATTCTCTGGGATAATAAGAAAAAGTTGATTTTAATCATTCTTCTCAAGTATTCAGGTACTGATTGAATGATTTTTTTGTTGCTTCTGATTTCAATAGTGGAATGAACTGGAATTTTCTGAATGACATCAAAGATTGCCAGGAATGTTGACTGGTAGTAAACAGAAGTTGAGTGGTTTTATTTGATCTTATTTATTTTTGTGTGATTGGATATAATAATATTGGTGAGTACCAAGATCTTGGAATAATGATTAAGGAAAATGGTTGATAGAAATGTTGACTTCTTGAAGGATATGTTTATTGTTAGGTGGTGAGTTAATGACTTCATCAATTATATTAAGTAAACAGTATTTGAATTTGTTGAAAGGATTGAAAGAAACTTATAGTGTGGAGGCCAATATGCTTATGAATGGTATCCAACAAAAACTATAGGAGAATGTGCCAATCGGACAGCCCAAACATCTAGTAAGATTATTGTCGAAGTCTATAGTGGAATATTTGCCTCTGAGTAGTATTCTTCCATCTATTGAGATATATCTTTTGTGGGTTTTGACAACTGCATTGATATTATGCAGGAACCAAAACATTGTCTTAGAATTTGGAATTGAGCCATGAGTTCCAAAAAGGTTTTTGATATTTACAAATGTTTTGAACCAGTTGGGCTCTGGACCTAAGTGAATTATTCCTGTATGTATAGCAAGTTGTGTCCAAAAAAGTTTGGTGGTGTTATTGTATTTCAGTAGTTAATTAGTGAACTTTATGTTAAGAGCATTGGTTGTATTGATTACTGTCTTTTTAAGTTGGAATTGTATATTGATAAATAAAAAACCAATAGAGTTTTCCACATTGTCAAGGTAGTGTCATATATCATTTCTACCTCAGAAGAAAGATAAAGATGGAGAACTAATAGCAGGGAGGCACTTTAGATGGACAGGGCCAATGTGGTATGCTAAAGTTCCT